AAGTTTAAAAGTAGGTGTGGGGGATAAGGTTGAAGATATTACACACTTGTTTTTTGCTAATGATGCTATGTTTTTCTATGAGCCATAGAGGAGAGCTATCCTTAAAATCAAGTGTGTTTTGATGGGTTTTCAAGCAGTCTAGAGATTTAGTATCAATCTTGCTACTGCAGAGATGGTGAGAATGAGGTTTGAGGGAGATTCAAATGGCCTTGCACGGGTTTTTGTTTGTAGGATTTTCAATCTACCAATCAAATATTCAGGGTTCCCCTTGGTGCCGATTTTAAAGAAGCGAGGACGTGGGAACAGGTGGTGGTAGGTTTGAACGTAGGTTAGCAGGGTGTAAGAGAGCCATCCTTTCTAAAGGGGAAGACTCATGGTCATTAAGAGCACATTGGGTAACTTTCGTATTTACTATATGTCCCTGTTGACCATTCCGATGAGTGTGACCAAGACGTTAGAAGCTATTCAAAGCAGGTTCTTATGGGGTAACATGGAGGGTAGAAGAAGATATCATTTGGTGACATAGAATGAGCTCAAAAAAACTATCTCTAGGTGGTTTGGGATTGCAGTCCCTGGTGGAGATGAGTGATGCTTTGCAGGATAAGTGGTTGTAGAGGTTTTTGACAAAGGAAAATGTGCTTTGGAGAAGAGTGGTAGCAACAAAATTTGGTACAGATGAAAAGGTGGTTCACCATAGTGGGATTAAGACCACATGGGAAGACTTGTAGAAAAAGATAGGTACTAGCCGAGATAACCTTGAGGTGCGCATCAGGTGAAAGGTTAGTGAGGCGGACAAATTCAGACTATAGGAGGATCAGTGGTTGGAAGGTGGTACCCATAGAGAGCAGTATCCTCAAATTTATGCCATAGCGCAACAGAAAGATGTCAAGATCTGTGACTCTTTCGTGGAAGTGGGCGGAGGAGAGAAGGAATAATAGGTTTCGTGTTGAGAAATCTTAATGACTCGGAGTTTAGTGAATGCTAGAGACTGTTAAGCACTCTTTCCCTTGTGAATCTGGACAACAGTAATGACAAGTTATAGGGGTGCCTTACAACGAATAGGGCATTCACAATCAAGTCGTTCTACAAGTAGTTGTTCAAGTATGAAGACAATAGTTTTGTTTTTCCGTTTAGACATATTTGGAAAGCTAGAGTTCCGTCGTGTGTACCTTTTTTAACTAAGAGGTTGGCATTCTGACAATGGACAAATTGATGAGACGGGGCAATATATTAGTGAATGCTTATTATTTTTGTAAAAGGGGTAGAGGAGTTTGTAATTGCGTATTGATGTGGTGTCATGTGGTATACAAACTTTGGACTATGATTTATGGGCTTTTAAGCACCAATTGGATGATGGCAGGATCAATAAGAGATAAAATTTGGGCGTGGAAGGGCATTAGAGGA